GAACTTAGCAAAATTTTTTGCACTCAGTAGCTACTTTAAAAATTTAGTTGATTGAAATCTTTCCACTTTAAATGAGTAATTGAGCTCCTGATTTCATCGATACTCCAATAAATTATAATACCAGACTTGGCACCATATCCAGACTTGAACTTGCACAAGTTTTTTAACCTCTTTGCCTCAGCTTCTTCATCTCTAAAAATGGTAGAATTATTTTATATACTTCAAAGATCATTGTGAGACTTGGTTCAACAAATATTGACTGAATGTTACTATATGCTAAACAATATTTGAAGTATCTTGGCCACATTAGTGAACAACATTTACAAAGGTAGATAAAAATCCCTACCCACATGGAGCTCACATTGCAGTAAATTGATGTTAAATTATGTTAGATGCTTAAGGGAGTACCGAGCACCTAGTAAGGTCTCAATGCATTTTAGATATGTTATTATTAACCCAACTGAATGACTAGCTTATTTTATGATATGATTTGAGAGGAAAAGAGGTTCTATGTACCTAATAAAGTACCCCAAATCCTAATATTACACCAATAATTGAGTTAAGACAGTGAAGGGCCCAGTTAAGATCTATACCTTATCTTACAGGGATGATACATTCCTATTAGTCATTCATAATGAGACCTTGAATGTATTTAGACTCTGCTTAATGAAGTTACAGACCTTAAGTGTTATGTTCATCATTGAATTCATAGCCTTTAGCATGGAGCCTGATGATCAGTAGACATTCAACAAATATTTGTTCAGGAATTAATTTGACACACATCTAACTTTGAAGATAAAGGTGAGAATAGAAAGCTGAGAATAAGGGACTGATGAACGCATGGAAAGAGTTTGAGGCAAATTTGTGTTTCAGAATTTTTCCTAGAACGTGTTGGTGGTAATTTCACGTCAGTAAGAAGAATAAGAAATATCTGCTTAAGAAAAAAATCACTTTGGGTTAATATAAAAAAGAAGATTTACAAAATCATTTGAGCAAGCAGGACCTTTGAAAATGCATGAAATACCTACGGTCAGCATATAATCATAATTAATTGAAATTAGCAATTCTAAAACATTTTTCCTCTTAGTTTAGATGAGTTTTCTTTGACCACAATTTCGTGTATGGATACAGATAAGTGGAATTGTCTAGACAAAGGTTATCATGTTAAAAATGAGAGAATAAAAATGAAAATAAATTGTGACTATACGGAGCTAGCTGCATTCTCATTGTACATTCATGTTGCAGCAGAGCTAATGTTTTCATATGGGCAAATTTTTACTCATATGCCCCGTCTAAGCAGAAAAGCCTAAGCTATTAATCCAGGTAGTTGTTCCATAACTACTGTTTTCTATTCATATTTGCATAAAGTAATAATCATAAAGGAGAAATTTACTGAAAGCCTCTGACTTTTTTTTTTAATCTCCAGTGTTCAGACTGCATCATAGTGCTTCCGATACAAGTGACAAAAACCGAGTTAAAAGCAGATTAAAGAAGTTTATTACCCGAAGACCTTCTTTGAAAACTCTGCAAGAAAAAGGACTTATTAAAGGTACAGGACACTTTATACTTTTACTGTAAAAGTGATAAATGAATATGCTTCTGTATCCATAGCTCTTCAGCTCTAGAAGAATATTAGGATATTTTAGGTTGCTTATTGGTTCTACTGTGTAAAAGAGAAAAAAATACTTGTCTAGAAAACTGATACTGATAAAATAAATGTTGCATTATAGGATCATTGCACAAAAACAACAACAACAACAACAACAAACTAGTTTTGCTCTCAGAGGATGTGGGCTCTGCACCCAGAGCAGAGAAATGGTATCTTAGTGGCCCATCAGAATGACCCCGTGTCCTCGTGTGTCTGGGCAATACTAATTTATACTTGGGATTTGAATATGTCCTAAATATATTCAATGTCCCAGCATATTCAATAACAGCAGCCCTTTTCACTATCAGAAATGTCCGGATTTGGATAAGTTTCTGATTACCCTAGTCATAGTCTGAAGTAAGTGCTCGGAAGAAAGTCCTAGCAAACTAGTGTTATGAAAACAGGAATTTGAGATCTTGAGGACTGAGAGTTCAATCTAATCTGAAATAAGCATGTATTTTTACAAGTATATCTAAAGTAAAGAATGAAATATCCTAGAGCAACCTAACCACGAGAATAGAAAAACATTGACTATGGCGTTAGACTAATTAGAATTCGGACCTTGGTTCTACTACTCACTTGTAATGACATTGAACAAGTTCTGATATCTCTGAGCCTCAGATATTTCATCTGTTAAATAGGAGTACTTATACACACTATTGAGAGGCTGTTGAGTGAAATGAATGAGATAATTTAGGTAAAGCATTTAAGAGAGTTTCTGGAACATATGTATTCAATAAATGTTCACTGCTATTAATATTATTATTTATTACTTTTGTTATTACTATTAGTCTTCCAGATAAATGAAAGAATAAATAGATAGATAGAACCAGAGATATAACAGATTTCTATAACTGAAAATCACCTTATAGATCACACAGGCAAAATGTATCATTTGCCTAACCAAGAAGACATATGCATCTAGCCCATTTTCCTCCTTGTTTTTCAAATTTTTTAACCGATGGATGTATTTTGAAAATTAAATATTAAAACATTTTGAAAATGGGCTGAAATAAATTCCTTAAATAAACTCTGAGAACAAAGTTGAAATACTGATTCTTATAGAAATCAAAAGAGTTGATTTAATAATATACACTCATTTCTCGGGAACAGGGCAAAGCTGATTTTAATATTTTCAGCAATAGTTAATATGAGAATTATTTAAATAGTTTATAATAACTGTTTGATTTATCGACTTCAGTCCATTTTGAAAAAGGTGAACATATCTCAAAAATCATCTGGCATTTTGAACCAATCGTGGAAGGTGAAATTTATGAAGCATGAGCATAAATATCACTAATAGAGTGGAAAAGTCTTAGAATATAAGCATTTGGGGGTAGAACTAATGCTTACTTCAAATACGGTTTATCTCAGACTTTTTCTCTCTGAAAATGTCCTTTTCAGTGCCACAGACAGTATTTGATCCTCTACAGATTCAATTACATATAATAGTATACTAGTACATTCAATTATACCTTAGCATTCATCCCACAGATTATCATTTGCCTAGACAGGATTCAGTTACAGGTTACCTGCCATTTTGAAAAAATATAACACCAGATTAGTAGCCCAAACAGTCCCAATCTGACATAAGGTCCAAATTTTTCATGATGCTGGCAAAATGAAAAGGATTTTAATTCAGTGGCAGGGTCTGTGCCCAATCAAAATGCTAAGGAATTAATAACTATAACGCTCTAGAATTGGTCTCAGAAAGTGGCAAACTGGATGCCTAATGCAGTCTTCATACCGATATAATGGAACCACTGAACACTCTTTGCTGTGTACACTCCCTGTCTTAGAGCTCCATTAAATTTTCACCATAGCTGACCAATGAGTCAGTATTCATTAGAAGGGCTGTGGAAAATCTATGTGAAATTCTGATTTGATAAGCTGCCATTGTTGTCTTCAGTGGAATTTTCTTCCAAATACAGATCAAGTTATGCAAATACAGTCACTTCTTGGGCTTGTTTCAGTTTTAACTGTGAATTTTTTAAAGCTTTTACTGAGATGTTTTATAAATGAGTGAATAGCATTAAACCAATTTTTAAAAATACAGGCCTAGTAAAATTTAATACTTTAAGTCCATTTTCTTAACATATCTAAGGTAAAGACTTAGAAAAAGCAATGAAACCAGGGTTTTTGATAGGTTACAAAAAAATCATATAATATAAATTAATGATTAATGGTTAAATTATCAATTTCTCCAAGTAAAATGACTTAACTCTTTCAAGGAGAATTATTTAGAAAGAGGTACAATGGTTTTTTAAATTGTTCTGTGGTGCATTTTCCCAAAGACTATGTATGAAATTCTTTAAATGTTCTAATTGTGCAGCTCTGGAATAAAGGTCCCATTGCCATTGTTTGGGAGAGGTGTGCACAGTGGTTTGGGTCTTACAAGTGTGCTTCCTGATACCTGGGAGGGGCTTTGCAGCACCACAGCCACTTTTCAAAGTCTTTAGTTTTCATGTAATATTAGTGGGGCTGCATTTTCTAATTTCTTAAATCTGGGTAATGGGAAGGGTACATTGTGATACCAAAAAAGGGCCAGCAGATAATTCTGAATGATAACCCAATGGAAATTTTAATAACTCAGCTGAGTGTTGCAATCATTGTGCCATTTACCGTGGTAGCTTCTGAAAAGCCTTCGATTTCTCCAGCTACTTTCACATTTGCCAAGGAGGGAACAGCTAGTGCTTTTTAAATACGTGAGTTTATTGCACTGAGCATCTTGTTGGAAATAAAACTCTAATCAGTTTAATGTGTAAATTATATAGGTGGGAGAATGCAGTTTAGGGTGGTAGGTGTGTTTGTAAATGTCCTCTCTACTTGCTTTTGGAACTGAAGTAATACCTCTTTCACATCAGTCAAACTACTTTATGTAATCTTTCAAATAATAGCATTGACCTCCAAGAACAGAAAACACTTGGCAATGCAATTTTTAAAAAAGATAACAACTGTTTGATTTTTTTAAGAGCAACTATTATTTCCTAAAATCAAATGACAGAGTTATTTGTCATTAGAGAGGGTTTGTATGTTTAAAAAGTAGTTTCTTTCATCTTAATATGGATGAAACCATACCGGACGGTATTAGTAGAAATTGGTAGCACTGCTGGACTACTTCTATTTTTTAATCAGTGTATTATAAGAAAACCATCTGCTTAAAGATTAAATAGTATGCCCGCAGAATTTATGATGAAAAACAGTGCTCTCCTGCCTCATCCCAGTTTTTCTTCTTATACATTACCACTTGGAAGTGTTTCTATTTGTATTCTTCTCGTGGGTGGTTCCATATCTTATATTATTGTTATTTGAGGATTAGATTAGTTTGTTTTTATCAATATTTTGCTTATCTTTAACATTATAGTGCCTTGATTTATCAAGCTTAGACATTACCTCAGATTTCTTTTACAATCAGCATGAATTCAACTCAATTAAACCAGACCTCTTCTACCTGGCCATTTTCCTCCCCAAATATACATGGTCAAATACAGTTGGCTTGCTGTTTTTATTAGCTTTCTCAGAAACATCCAACATACTTAAATCTCTACTTATTGTTTTATTAACCACAGAAAATTGAGACTTACTGCGTCCATTGACATGATGAGAAATTTACTGCCCTCTTCCCCTTTCATCTCCTCCGCCTTTTCTATTGTAATCTTTACTTCTACATCATGAAAAGTTATATTTTTCACTGGTTTATATAATTATGACTTATGTATAGTTTGATTCTAAAAGTTAAAAACCAAAAACAGCATTCATCGGATTACAATTATGTAAGATTGTTTACTACTATGCCAAGTATTAGATTTCCTTCTCTGTTCTTGCACTATAATGACCTTCAAAGAGCAATGTCCCTTGATCATGGTAAAAAGAGCTTATCTTTTCTTTTACAGTTGAAGGTTATATTATTTCTCTTGTACTGTTTCACAATCACAATTAAGCCCTCCATCCTCCCCATATTTTACATCTAAATGGGGAAAAAATTACTCATCAGCATATACTTTATATTGATCATGTAAATATTATGCAGTCTTTGGCCAAGTAAAGTGCCAGATTGGCTTAATGTATCCATGGGTCCAATGCTATGCTTTATGGGCCACATAAATTATATTCTGATTTTTAAAGCTTATGCTTCTTCATTTACTTGTAATCATGATACCTTTTAGTTTGATATATTGTTTGATTGTGAATTTCTCATGTAGATTTTTTTCCCAGAGTTTCATTTTTTTCTTGCTTTCTAGGCCTTTACGTCATTAAGGGTTTGTCTCATTTAAATAGTCTATGCATTCTAGTCTGCAATTCCCTGCTTTTTTTTCCCCAGCATATCTTCTAAAGTTCTCCTACCATCTTATACCAATTTGAATTGGTTGCTTTCCAGGCTTCATTCACATTTATCGCCCTGTGATTACCTTTCACTGATTTTTTTCAGTTATATTCAGTCTTCTAAATCCCATGCCTTGTCTTTATTGCTTTGATTCCTTTTATTATTATGTAACAGCTCCAGTAACTCATTTAGAAAACACAAGACCTCGAATATCTAAAATTATCATAAATATGCCTACACATTTAATCAATACTTTAGTGGGGTATAAAATTCCATTGCCTCTAGAATGCATAGTTGTAGATTCCATTCTTATTCTTGTTACTTTGATTTTTTTTTTCTTTCAGAGTCATTTTTTTTTTTGTCTTTATTTTGAGATCCTATAATCAATATAATGTATATAGTTGGCAGAATTTTTTAAATGTATATTCTGTTTGGCACTCAATTTGAAGAATCGTGATTCTCTTTAGCTCTGCAATGTGTTCTCTTTATTATTATGTTAATAAGTTCCCCCATCAGTTTTCCCTGTTTCCTCTCTTGAGATATTTATGATGTGAGTATTAGATCGTCAGAATTGATT